ACCCAAACACATAGAAACCCTATTCCATGAGTGGAAGATCCAAACACTATTTGATATCACTTTATGTTGCATTACATGACTTTTTTTAGTATGATTTAGTTGTGTTAAAATTGCTTGTACTAAGATGTAATGTACTTTTTAAAATGTCCTTCCTTGTTGACACTTTTATTTCATAATTTCGTTTCATTTAAATAACCTTTGTCATTCAACGCTGTGTACAGTGCCACAAATTGGCATATACATGACCAACTTTAGGGACTCTTATAAATTGTTGTACGTGTAAATGAGAAAACTAAAATTTCATATTGTAAATGGCCACCTTATGTCAACAATAATGCAACACTTAACTTTAATAGTAATATACTTATTTTATGTTTGGTAAATAAAGGTTTGCGGCAAGATGAGAGGGAGGGTAGGGTATTTTGGGGATGGCCATGCAAACTAAGTCCTATTTGGAGAATTTATGTTTTGGACTCCTATTTAGGTATATTTGATATGTTTTAGTCCTATTTAGGTTTTTTTTCCTTATTAGTAAAAAAATATGATGTGATAGCTAGGGTATGAAAAAGTAAGGAGCAAAAGTAGTTTTTTAATAGAAAAAGAAAGGAGTTTGTGGGATAAAGAAAAAATGAAAGGGAGAGATGTTTCAGAGACGGAGGGAGTATTAGATAAGAAACTGTATCCTTCAGAAATGATCTTAATTTAGTAATATAAGTATCACCCGTGCAACGCACGGGAGTGATGCTAGTTTTTATACTAAGAGAGGTATTCTAGCAGCAATTTTTTGTAAATGCACCCCACTTAAGCCTTAAATTAACTTGATGATGACTGACTCCAGACTCTGTAGAGGATAAGTTGGAAGTCGGGTTTATGTGCCCATGGCCGTGGCGATTACGAGACCGTTAATCCGGCGGCTATTCTTGCACTCCTCAGCCACCATTGCCCCCCGGCCGACTCCTTCTCCGGGATTCAACCTCCACGCGAAAAGCAATTTCGCGACATCCTCCACTCGCTCCAGGAGAAACAGAGCGAGATCCAATGAGATTACTAGCAGCATCGCGCAGAAGAGCAGAAAGTCGCAACTCAATCGGAGGACCCGGTCGGAGAAGGAGATCGACGAGGAGAGCTTTCTAAAGCTCTACGGAAATGACGATTCTGCACATGTCCCAGTCTTGCTTGGTGAAGTGGTTGATGTTTTTTCATCTGTCCGACTCCGATCCTTCGTAGATTGCACTCTCGGCTGCGCTGGCCACTCCTCCGCCGTGAGTCTCTTATGCTTCTTTCATTAAAAAATTGAGTATTGAATGAGTAATTGACTATACAAGCATCTTATAGGGTTAATGGTTGTTGGCACTTTGCCCAAAAAAGACCAGTTTTTTTTTGCGCGGAAACGTTCTTCACGAATATTCAATAAAAACAATGCACCACAAACAAAATAAAGTGAAGGATAAGAGCAATGCACACACGATATATACTGGTTCGGCCTAAATGCCTACATCCAGTACCTGAAGCAATCGTGCCCAGGCCTTCACTAACTCGTCAAACTTAACGGAGTTTGACAATGCGAATACAACTCGAGAACTTGATTTCACAAGCCTCTTATCTTACCACCGAAGTTTTGATTTCACAAAACTCAGGATTTCTTCCACCTAACGTTTGATTTCACAAACCGTTAGGATTTCTACCACTTGATGTAATCCCAACACCAAGAATACAAATCCCTTACAATAAAGTAAGAAAACAAACCGCAACC